TAGTATCTTGGGACTCAGGCTGCGACCATGGATCGAGCCTTTCCTTACGAGTATCGATCGGCAACAGCCATCTTAGCGTTACAGCACAGCAACGCGCGTCGCTGCACTGCACAGTGCGCTGAGTATGAACGCAGCCATAAGCTCATGAAAATCTCACCTACCATCCTCTTTCCCATAGTATCTTGGGACTCAGGCCGGCGCCCATGGATCGAGCCTTTCCGGACGAGTATCGATCGGCAACAGCCATCTCAGCGTTACAGCACAGCAACGCGCGTCGCTGCGCTGCACAGCGCGCTGAGTCTGAACGCAGCCTAAGCTCATGAAATGGTTTTCCAGATGAGTCGACACGTCGATGGGAACCTGCAAATGTGCAAAACGCCCCCACCCCGTCGCCAAGCTGCCCCGTAACTTGAAAAATCTCTAGAAACGCGATGACAAGCACTGCACTGCACAGAGAACGATTCTTGCCGAAGGACCCGAAGGAAAATCGGATGGGATACGTCATTTCGCCTACGGGGAAGCAACGTATCTGCTCCATCTGCAACCGAGCGAGGACCAATCATCATCATCATCATATACAACAGAAGAATGAATACACGCGAGGATGAAACAAAGTATAGACGATGTAACAGTACAACAAACAGTGACCATTACATGCCCCCAATCAAGTCAAATATTATAGAGCTTTCAAGACAAATTACTACAACAACATAATAAAACAATATAACATCTGAATATAGACAATCTACTCTAGAGAAATAATAAGCAAATGAAAAAAGAACTCTGTACAATATACAAGGGATACTATATACGAGAAGTCCAGATAGAATCTCATGCGCATACGGGTGGATGACAACGGCGGCATGTTCATTTTACTTATGGGATTTATGAAAAATCCATATGTTGTTGATGAAGCCCATTGTGGCCTTCTGGACTGAAGCCGGACTGATCCCACTGGATATCCGGGCTCATCTGACTGCCGCCCGTTAAATGTGGAGAGGGATGGGCACCTGCTTGAGAGATCAACGGATCTCCCGTCAACAACGGGTTACCTCCCTGGAAAAGGACAACATTCGGAAAATGAAACAAATGAACTGCAGCCAAGTGGGACAAAAATAAAAAAATTACCTGTAACGTCGCCATATCGTCCATCATCAAGTCGGGAAATGGTTGTTGCATATTGTGGTCTCGCCATGTGTGTGGTGTTCCTGAACACATTCACAAATATATACAAAATAATAAAATTGGAATTTCAAGCTGGAAATTAGAATCATAAGAATTACTTCGGAAATAGGAAATGTGTTGGAGAATAGCCGAAAACGGGCAAAAGCTGGAAGAAACGGAATGAAAAAAGCTCCAGACAATCTAGAGATTCAAAACAATGTCCATCTACACAGGTAAGCCGCGGTCATACCTAGCAAACAGCTGTCGACTGTTCACAGACAAATTGGAGACAACGTTCACGCGTAACCTCCCATCTTTTTACCAATCTCCTAGATATGAACATCTTATCTAATCTTGGCTGGATGTACTTGAGGAAATCCGAGACGACGTCATCTCAAACCAAATTATATAGGTCTTCAAAAGCTGCTGCAGTTGCAAGCGCTGCATAGCAGCAGTAAAGCAAAATGTTGCCCAAATAACCCCAATGCGTTGATAGATGTCTGCTCTGCTTATCTGCTGTCTTGCTCGTTTGCATGCTCTCTAGCTGCTTTGTCTGGCCCCCCGCCCAATATCCACGTCAATACTTTGTCACTCAATTTGAAC